GTCCACGAGCGGATGCGGAACCCACAGTTTTCTTGCTCCTTGTACGCTTGCCGACGGGAGTAACAATGGGTGGTGGAGGTGGCAAGTGGGGAGCGGCCGAGGTAGTGTGGCGCTCGTCGGTGCTATGTCGGCGGGGAATCGGCACTTCCGGGGTCGAGCGGGCGACATCGGCGCTCATACGGTGAGGAGTGGGAGGCCACTGCTGATGAGGAGGTCGATTCCATGGGGTGAACTCGTGGTGGCCTGTGGTGGAGGAGCCATCATGAAAAGTCCCAGATGATGTTTGCCGAGGAGATAGCCGGGAATCAAAGTATGCTCCGCGGGGATCGAAGTATGCTCCGCGGGGATCGAAGTATGCTCCACGGGGATCGTTGTATGAGATCGGGGTGGGAGATAATGGGGCTTGGTGGAAACTCTGAGATGGGGCGGAGGAGGGGCGGGGAGCTTGGGTGGAACTCGGTCCGGCACCTTGGGTTGAACTTGGTCCGGCACCTTGGGTGACAACCAATGGGGGCGGCACACTCCACCCCCCAAATGGTTGAACCTCGGGCTCGATCGGCCTTTCCCGAACCCTCTTCGGCTGCTTTCTCTCGTAGGGTGGTGGGGGTGCGGGGACATCACGTTGTACCTCAGGTGGTGGGGGTGCGGCACGAGGTGGATATCTACGATGATCTCGGCGCTGAGCTCTGATACAGCCAAGTAGACTGTTTGCAATCCTCCTGATGTAGCCCACATCTTCATTGCCCAAGTCATTTCTTCCGGTAGTAATATCTTTAATCCGCTCGACCCCATCAACCTAAATCACAAAAAACAAAAAAAGTTACAAAGAGATTTTAGGAACCAAGTAATAAATCATACTATACTTAGACTGGTTATACTTACTAATGCACCATCGGCCGCACCCTCCGGAGTCATGTAACGAACCGATGTTTGCCGATATCGATCCAAGTATGGGTCATGATACCCCATTCGGCCCACTTGATTTGGGGTGACAATATCTTGTAGTTGTCGGTTCTCCCAAATCGCGATGAATTCCTGCAACTTCGTCGGCCAATCGCGAGTACCTTGCCGACCATCTCGGCCATGGAAGGCCCTTTGACTTGCGGGGACCTCAAACGGAATGCACTGCTCCCGACCAAACTGACGGAGGCATCGATCCGGCAAGTGCCACTCCACGGTCCCAAAACAAATTAGAGGAACCCTCGTGCACCATTGCCCGATATGACCGGGGAATTGCTGGAGATGCCATTGAACGATGTTCTCCGGGTATGGATCGAAGACGATCTATAAGATAGAAATGAGTAACGTAAGATTAAATAATTAGAAATATACATGTAGTCCCATGAAAACACAAATATAAATGAATCGCGGTATAGAAGTTACCTCTCCTTCCCAAAGTCGCTCAAACCTCCTCCGATACTCCTCCAACTTGTGTTGGGCAAGGTTGTCGCATGTTGTGTGTCCAAGCCACCTTATTAATATGACAAGAATGAAACTACAATAAGATAAAACACAAGACAAAATGTGTTATGACTACATGATGGGGGTATGAGAAGTTTACCTTGCTCCATAAGCTTCACCTCTTAGGGGATGATCGATTGGCCAATCCCTGTCTGGACGTTGGGCCGGTGCAAGCCATGGCATATGCTCCCAAGCCCAAAATTGGACGATGAACATTGCGCCGCCAACCTCCCTCACGGCTTTGTTCGCCGCATTGCACAAGTTGTTGTAGATGATAGCTAGGCATGCAGATGCCCAACTATACTCCCCCATCTCCTCCCAACTACTGAAGATGATCCTAAGCCATCCACAACTAAGGAGATTGCTTGCTTTCTTGGAGAAGAACACTCCTCCGATCATGCCTATGAGATAGACACGAGCATATCTCTCCTTCTCATCCTCCGGACTTTCCTCCGTAAGCGGATGACTCTCGTAATGATCTCTAAAATACTTCGTCAACCAAGTAATTGAGACTTGGTGTTTCCTCAATGGTGGCATGCGATCGGTCGCATCAACGTGCCCCTTCACCGGTACTTTCACTCCCAAATGCTCGTGGATGAAATGCTGCCAACCGGGCATACCGTCACAATCCTCGGGGGGATGATCACTCACGCACACTGGTTTGCCGTCGATGGGCAGATGGGTTAGGATGGCGACATCCTTTAGCGTGATGGTGGCCTCCCCTTCTCTAAGGTTGAAACAATGGGTCTCCTTTCTCCATCTCTCGGCCAATGCGGTGATGAGTTGACGATCGATTTGGATGCCGTTAAAATGCCTAATCGAGTCTAACCGTGCCCTTTTGAGAAATGGCAAGATAGCGGGGTGGAATGGGAGCACATTTGTGGTACCCCTGTAGCGGATTATTGTTTGTGACTCCTAGGAAAATTTTACACGTTAATTATTATTAGTAAGGGTGTTTTTTCGTATAACTAAATTAATTTAATTAAATTATGCAACATAAAACATAATTTTATTATCATAAAAGGACATTTCATATTATCATAAAACATTGTCAATGAATAATAATTTAAAGAGGTACATACATATTATCGTAAAACAAACATATTTAATTAATTAACATAAATAACATTGTTAATGAATAATAATTTAAGTAGAAACATACATATTCAAATGTTTGGTAAATAATTTAATCGTGTTGGTGGTTTTAAATAATTTAATCGAATACAAAGCAACACTCGTTAGACTCTTAGAAGAGGTATACATCTTCTTAGAAACGCAGTCTTTTTGACAGAAAAAGGGGGGATCCGAGGATCTCTTAATACCCGATTTTCCCAGGTAATGGGAGGATATGATAATCGCTTAAAACCCCATTTCCTTAGACGTGCATCTCTTTATAAAGAGTCGAAGAAAGTGGCGCTATGTATTCGATTAAATTATTGAAAACCACCAACACGATTAAAAAATAAACATAAATTTATTTTATATTACACTAGGCACATTAACAAAATAAAAGAAGGACAAATGGTGAAGAATTGTATGTACCGGGTGATCGTTCCAAACATCCCTTGACCGATGATTGGCTTGGTCGTACAAGTCGGTTGGATCCACCGGTCCTTGCTCGAGATAATACCTTTGGTTGTATATATCGACGCCCTCCCCAACCTACGATAAAATAACTAGGTTAGTACATAGATTAATTAAAAAACTTATAACAACAATAAAAATTAAACCAGAATGATGAGTACATACCGCTTGAAATTCATCGACGAAAACTCCTTCTCCTTGCCACCAATCGGCCATTTTTTCGGCGTAATTCGGACAGAGCTTCGGCTCGGCTCGGCGGGTTTTTGAGGAAAAAACCTAAGAAATATTTTCTGATGGCAGATCGGACTTAGCCGCAACCAACAGACTTTTATTTCCTAGGCTTTTGGGAGGGGAGGGTTTAGAGAGATTATATCTAGAGAGAGAAGGAGAATGGGTTGTGTGGAGTGAAGAAATGAGAGGGGGAGGGGGGGTATTTATACCCAACAGATCGCACCGCCGAGGGGCGATAGGGTAATTTTACCCCGTAGAAATCGCATCTCCCTGGTGCGATCTCCACGCCAAATCGCATTCCCCTGATGCGATCCCCGCGTCCCGATGCGTTGAACGCGCAGAATCATGACGCTCCACTTTTCCAGGCGAGAAATCGCACCTCACCAGTGCGATCCACACTCAGTCGCGCGGATTGCTGACGTGGCTATGCTGCAGCCCGTCAGATCGCATCTTAATCGTGCGATCCAGAAGGTCGCTGGCGACCAAACTTGGATCGCATCTTGGGGATGCGATTTACCTGAGATATCGCATCTTAGGGGTGCGATTTATGAAGGAAACGCATTCTAAGGCTGCGTTTCATTTATAAAACGCACCTCTAAGGTGCGATTCATTAAAATAGGTGCTAGTTTTGTAATTTGTTTTGGAAGAGTGCTAGTTTTGTAATTTTTTTTTTAAAGGTGCTATTTCTGGAAAAAACTCAGAAAGTTAAGGAAAGAGTACGGAGCAAGACAATAACATTAGAGTAAGAGTCCATAACCATGAGTAATTTGTACACATCAGTATGACATCAACATCTTTCTCATGAAAAGTCTTCTATCTTTTCTTCTTTAATTTTTAATGGACGATTTCTTTTGAAATTTAAAATTTTTTGCATACATAAATCATATTAACTGTTATCTTTAAAATGATATTCACTTTGATATATTCTTAGAACAAAAAAAATTGAGGCATTTTTTACTAGTCAATACCATATGATATTAAATAGGAGCATACGATATGATAAGAAAGCATACCATGATGGTATGAACATACCAAGAGTGTAGGAAAGTTGAATACATGATAGTAGGAGTATACTAACTGTCATTTACGACTTTCATCATTGTTTACCACAAGTTACCACCCCCATACCAGAGTGGTAAAGTATGTTAAGTTTGGTCCTGTATTTTTGTCACCCTGAAATATGTAGATCAAATAGATAAGGATGAACTCGTTTCTTCTGAGCAAATATTTTCAAAAAGGACTTAAAAACAAAGAAGTTACCAAATGGTATAGAGTTGGTAATGAGAGGTATGAAAAAAAAATTCTAAAAAATTATTGAAAATTGATCTCATTTTGTAGAGCACAACGATCTCGTTTCATCTGTGGAAAAAAAATCTGAGTTAGAACGAATAAAATAAGAGCCTATTCAAAAAATTAGGCAAAATAATATATTTTTAATTTACAATCCTTAAATCTAAATTTTCTGAACACACTTAAATTTAAAGGTCAGATTTAGTTACTAATAAGTCAGTAACTACCATATCTTCAGCTGGAAGAGCGGGACAGCTGATGCTTGAGCCTGATGGTGGTTATATTAATAAGTAATAACTAATCTAAGTTTTAATTAATTAACTCAATAAATTAAGCAGCGGCAGTGGCAGTGGCGGTGGTTAATCATCAAAAGCTCTCTTTTTTATGCAAGCGTGGGTATAAATACAGCAGCTTTGTTAATTTGAGGCTTCCTGTCTTTCTTTTTCATTTGCTCTTTCGCTCTCTTTTCAATTCTGTACATTTCCCTCACAAAATTCCTTCTTCAGTCTTCCATTTCTATCCCTCGCTGTCCGAAACTCAAACCTGCCCAGTTTCAGTTTTCTTGATCGGTTGGAGTTTTGGGTCTGGTTCTTGCACAGTGAAGCTGGTGGCAGCGTGGGGAAGGAGGAAAGTAGTAAAGCGAATGGAGGGTGTTTGAGCACAGCACTAACAGAGGAGGGGTTGAATGAAGCGCAGAGGAGAGGACCGAAAGTAGCAACAGAATCTGAAATGGGTATCTTACTATCTTTCTCTTAGCTACTTTAAGCTAGGTGTTGCATTGTGTGTGTGTCTCTCTCCTTCCTTCTGGTTCTCCTCTGTGATGACATCTCAGCTCCTCTGACTAGGGTTTTGAATGGGCATATTTATTGTCCTGAAATCAATGTTCTTTTGTTTGCTTGTTTGACTGATTCTTCCTTCGAGGCCCTCCTTTTTCAGCTTTTTCCTTGGTTCTCTCCCTGAGCTTTCTTTTTCTCGGCGTATCTTTCGTCTTGGGAGTTGTTTCCTTCTGGTTCAATTCTTAGTACTAAAACTGCAAGTCCAGCGGTGGGTTGCTTTGGAATTGGTAACTTTCCCCAACCAGATTCTTACTTCTCTTCATCTTCGTTAAGCCTTTTTGGTTTAGAGGAAAGAGAGAAGTGATTGTGTTCATTATATGCTGTGATTCCTGAAAGCCAATTTGTTGAATTGTGTTCTCACTTCTGCCACCGTGAGAAGCTCTTGCCAAGTTAAAGCGGTTTGTGATCCTGCGAGGAATGTCCTCACTTCCTTCGGTGAATTTGAAGTTTCTTGTACTGTAAGTTTTGGCTGAATTGTCTTTCAATTGATCGCTTTGATGCAAAGTTGCCTTAAAACTCACCTTCGAGAGAAGTTGTTCTACTTCGGCTGAGTTAACTGAGAAGTTGATTCTTCTTCACTTTTCTGTCTCTGCATCTTTGATTCTTTTCCCTATTGAAGTATGGCTTTATCTATTAGGAAGTTGGAAGGTTTTTGGGTTTGATTAACTTTCTGAGACCATCTTCCCGTTTGACCAGAATTCCCTTTGAGAGGTTGCTGGTAGTTCAGACCAGGGGAGTTATCTGTCATCTACTGTGGGATTTTTTTTCTTGTTCTTGTCATGGAGATTGACATTAGTGAGAAGGATAAGCTTGAGCAGGAGAAAGGGAATGACGATAACTCTATGACCTATCAATCACCTGGTAGTTTAACTTCAGACTGGCATTTTACTGGTGCTAATGTAACTACTTCAGCCCTCAGTTTGGTTCCTAGCGATGACGGTCAGATGAATGCTTGTAGAGGAGATTTAGTTGGTGTAGCTTCTTGCTCATCTGCCACCATGGAAGAATCATTTGCTCCACCTGGTCTGTGGGATCACCAAACTAGTTCACAGAACACTGGGTTTTGTGACATCAGTGTAGGCACAGGAACTCCGGTAGGGATTGTAACTGGTGGTCCTGTCTCTTTGAGAAGCAGTATCGATGGAGCTCTGCGTATGGGTTGGAATCCACCTAGTTCAGTGTTAAGGAGCGGTATTTTCTTGCCCAATGCCCATGGAATACTTCCCCCAAGCTTGTGTCAGTTTCCAGCCGATCCTGCTTTCATTGAGAGAGCCGCCAGGTTTTCATGCTTCAACAGTGGAAATATTTGTGACATGGCTCACCCTTTTGGAATGTCCGAAGTTATGGGTCTTTACTCTAGGGGAGGGGGAATGATGCAGGGGCTGCAGGAGCTATCCTTAGCTCAGAAGAATATGATGCATGGAGTGGGATGTTCTAGAGAAGCAAGGGATGCTTCTTTACACATGGATCATGCGAAACCTGAAGAAAGCCCACTTGAGAGTGACAGAAAAAGTGAGAGCCTTGTAAGATCTCAGGATGAAGTAAAACTAGGTTTGGATAGGTCTGGTGTTGACTCTGATGAAGCTGAATTTAGCGGTGGGGACCAAGATGATGCCACTATGTTGGCGGCAAATGGTGGAAAGTTATATGCTAAGGGCCTTAACTCAAAGAAAAGAAAGCGAAATGGGCAGGTAGGAATGCCTGCTTAGCAAATTTTCCTTTAGATCGAGCGTTTTAATTTAAGATTTTCCTAATTGAGCTTGGTTGGTCTTTTGTTTGTTTGTTTGTTTGTTTGTTATTCTGAATCCTTGGTTAGGACACCGAGCATGATCCAGGCAAGGTAAGCCAGCAATCTGCAGGAGTTACTACGGATGACCCTGAAGTTCAACGTAAGGGTGGTAAAAATCTGACTTCCACAACTAACAAGACTTCTGGAAAGAATGCGAAACAAGGATCTCAAGCTTCTGATCCGGCAAAAGAAGAATATATTCATGTTAGAGCTCGAAGAGGACAGGCAACTAACAGTCATAGTCTTGCAGAGAGAGTAAGACCCAATGGCTCTAGTTAGGCCAGCCCGTAAATGTTTTGAGCTCACTGATTTATTCTGGCAACAGGTGAGAAGGGAGAAGATCAGTGAAAGAATGAAGTTTCTGCAGGACCTTGTACCTGGTTGCAACAAGGTTGGTTTTTTCGAATCAGTAGCTTAACTAATCTAATATTTTGTTCTTGCTCGCAACTGATGAAGTTTCATCTGACTTTTGAAGGTGACGGGCAAGGCAGTGATGTTGGATGAAATTATTAACTATGTACAATCACTACAGCGGCAGGTGGAGGTGCGACAGCTATATAATTCTTATTTTCTCTTTTATGTTCTTGTGGCTCTGAAAGGGTTGATGACTTTTGCACTCTTAAGATCCGATTTTGATTGCATTTTAAAAGTTTCTTCGTTTGGTTAGAACTTAAAACATAAATACCAACTTGTCAAAATGACTAGCTGAAACTTGTATTTTGCTCACCGTGTGCCCCCTTTTGCCAGAACCTATGGCTTTTTTCAATGGTTAATGTTCCAATTTAACACCTGTCTTTTCTTTCACAGTTTTTGTCAATGAAGCTTGCAACAGTGAATCCGAGGATGGATTTTAACCTGGAAGGGCTTCTAGCAAAAGATGTGAGTGACTGTAAGTTATTATGCATCTTAAGTTTCTTTATGGGTTCGGCTGATTTGTACCTCAACTAACTGTATGCAGATCCTAACATCAAGAGCTGTTCCTTCAGCTAGTCTGCCCTTTTCACCAGACTTGCCTATGTCTTATGCTCCATTACATCCATCTCAATCAGGACTTGTTCCAGCTGGTTTTCCTGCCATGGAGAATCATTCTGACACCCTTCGGCGAACTATTGGTTCTCAGTTGACTTCTACAAGTGGAGAATTTAAAGAGTCTGCTCATGTATTACCTACTTCTCCAGTCTGCTGTTTGTTCATTTATATGCGAAAACCTTCCATTACAATTTAGTTTATGGTGGCGTGCAGAGCTACACAATAAATATCCACAAAGCTTAAAGTTAACAGTAATGCTTCGGTCTTCACTGTACAGTAATCCTTTGCCGCAAGATATCATGCTATGCTCTGAGCCTAAGTTGTTGCACTGTGTGGAAAATTGGTCTTCTTTCTCCTCCGGGTTGATTCATGTTTTAATTGGTTTTCATTTTATAACAGCTACCAGATTCCTGGAACAATGAGCTGCACAATGTTATACAGATGTATGGGAGCAGTGGACCTCAAGATAGCCAAGAGTTAACTGGTATATAATTCTCCCCCAGTGGACTTATTCTCTGCTATCAATTTCTCATTCTCAAAAAGAAAAGTTACAATTATTGCAGGGCCAGTTGCGGCAAGCAATATGAAGGATGAACCTTGATTTTTCGTCCTGGTTCTAATGCAGCGCGGCTACTAGTATATCATTTCTTGAACAGCAGGGATCTAGAGGACTATGAAGATTCGGGTCTGGATTGCTTCTAACTCATTTAGATGAAAAGTTACTGTCTGGTCTCCTTTATTGTCCCATAGCAGCATCGATGTTCATTAAATTCAGTCCCTCAATATCAGTAGAGACTAGAGAGAAGTTCATTTGTTTTGCCTTGTGTTATAGGACGCAAAGGGAAGGAAAGGAATGATGAATGATGGAAGTTGGAAGAAGTGTACAGATAGGATGGTGGTGGTGGAGGATAGTGGATGGTGGAATCAGAGGTCGTGTAAACTACTATCATGAATATGTATGTATGATATAAGCACTGGAAAGACATGGTCGTCTGGGTCTTCCCTCCCATTCTTTTGTGTGCAAATTGCATATAAACACAAAATTGCACAAGCATTCTGTTTCTTGACATCTGCGTTAGTTTTTCCCTTTCTACTTTTTAAACCCAAGCAGGTGAACATTTCGACTTGTTTGTTTCTTTCAGTCTAGTTTACCTCATCTGGAACCGGTGGTTTCACTGATGGAATGTGTTCATGAACTGTATATTTGGAAAGGTGACAGGCAAGTTATTGCTTGTTTGTTTCTTGAGTAGAAGGAAATTGGACAGTGTAGCTGTTAAAATGCCAACATACGTTAATTTAGGTACCTTTATGTAAACCATACCAATTATGTGAGGGTGTCTAGACTTAATCGAGGCTAGAGTTTAGTTATGGATTCAAAACATAACCCGACCTGATTAACCTGTTTGACGAACCTGATCGCAATCTAAGTTGACTTAACCCGTTCGACTCGCAACCCGCTACTCGCCTGACCTGTAACTTGATTCATCCGCAACCTAATTGGTCCGAACCTGACCAACTCGAAATTGACGTAATCCGACTAGCCTGAACCCGATTGACTCATAACCCGATTGGCCCGATGAACTATTGAATAAATTTCATATGTTATTTCAATTAATTGTTCAACATTGTTAGAAATGGGTTAACGTACAATTATCTAATACTCTAGTAGTTATGCAACATATTTCCTCAATCGTCAAATTATTGACACTCCAAACTTTAATTTATGTTATTAGTTAGTGTATGCTAATGTTAGGACTTTTACAGCTCCTCTCAACTTCACCTAGGTTATAGTGCAAGCACTCGGGTTCAAAGCGAACGCCGTAAGACAACAATCTGAACGATCACATATCAGACCACCACCAGCGGCGTGGTCTAAACTAGGATTAATGGAGCCGTCAGAGTTGAGGTAGATCCACTCCGGAGGAGGCGGCTTCCAACTGATAAGCTCCTCCGTTTTGGCGGGCGGGCGAGGTCGGTGAATTAGCCTGTCCTTGTCCAAAGCATTCCTCACTACAGGTAACGATGCTTTGACACGTTGTAAGAAGGTCTCAAGGTGACGATCTTGTCTGCGTAGACTCGATCATTTTTGGTTCTCCAGAGGGACCAGCAGGTAATGCCAAACTCAAGGCTGATGTGCTGATTCCGGAGTATGCCGAGTATCCAATCCTTCAGATTACTTCCAAAAAATTGTTAGCATTCAGAAAGGGGGATTAACTGCATCCATATTAACCGCGAAAAGATACAGTCCCGCTGCAACACATGTAGGACTGTTTCAGGGTCGTGTTTGCTATGCTAGCATGTAGCGTTGGTGGTCATGTGACATCGTCCGCGCTCTTCATTTGTTAGCAATCTGTCTCTAGTAGCCAGCCACAGGAAGTGACGTACCCGAGCTGACCCCTCCCAGCTCCAGATCATGCGGCAGTCCACCTGCTGCATCTGGACATCGTCGCTGATGGCGATGCTGTAAGTGTAGCGCACCCTGAACCTGTCGTCATCCTCCAATGTCAAGGCGACAATGTCCTCTCCCGATCCCGCCACCGAGGGTTGGAGCCCAATCACTTGCCCCACAACATCACCCGATAAAATCTGGCTAAGTAAAGGAATATTCCGCTCACCTTGGGGGTCAATAGGCTGGGACGTATCATCCACATAGTTGAGCAACATCTCGCCATTGCCCACCACCGATCCGTCCAGAAACTTGTGCTTTGGCCATCCTTGACTAACATGCCCATGTCCGTGGGCATGATTGGTCAAGCCTTCTGCACTCCACGCCACAGGGAGGAGGCTCTCGCCATGGATTTCGGCTCCAAACCACCATTTCTTCGTCGAAAGTACTTAGCTTGCAGAACTTGCACCCACAACTCATCAGAATATTTAATGAAAGACTAGGCAATCTTAGCTAGGAAGGCTAGATTCAGCTCGTGGGCTTTTCGGAGATCCAATCCGCCGTCCTTCTTAGATCGACAAATCCCTTTTTAGTGAACAAGGTGCACTTTCCTCCCCTCCGACGTGGATCCCCACACAAAATTTTGGATCTTCCTGTCTATTTCATCGCAGATGAAAATTGGCCGGTACGAAGTCTGCATGGCGTACGTCGGAAGAGAGTTGAGGATCGACCTAGCTAGCGTAACTAGGCCAACCAAGGAGAGAGAGTTCGCCTTCCATCCTGTGAGTTTCGTATCCAGTTTGTTTAAGATGTACTTGTACGTCATTTTGGTCATGCGGCCATGAAGCATGGGGACTCCTAGATGATGCCCTAGATCCTGAGTAGCAAGAATTCCCATCCTGGTGACCACTGCACTCCTTATGTCTCGCTTGGTCTTGCCGGAGAAGAAGATCACCGACTTATCCTTGCTTACCATATGCCCAGAAGAGATCTAAAAATTCGAGGATGACATCCCCCTGATCTTCACTAGCCTCTACAAACAAGATCAGATCGTCAGCAAAAAACAGATGAGAGAAAAGGGGACCTCCGAGTGACGTTTAGATGGGCTTCCACTTTCCGCACAAGACTGCAGCTTGGATTGTGTGGCTAAGCCGCTCCATACACAGTGTGAACAAGTATTGGGATAACTCCGTAGGTGCGCCATTCCACAACACCTGTAGCTCATAGAGGTGACACATCTCATAATAATCGTGGTTAATGCCTCCGGGAATCCTATACCTATCAAGGTTTCCTGCAGGAAAGTCCAGCTCAGCCTATCATAGGCATTGGCCAGGTCAATCTTGAGGATCATTTTCCCTCTGCGCCCCCTCTTGAGCCCCATGGAATGGACTACCTCTTGAACAATGATGGTGTTATCGGTAATGTGACGTCTGGGGACAAAGCTGGTTTGTGCTGGCCGCACCAGCCTCCTCATCATCTGTTTGATCCTATTTACCAAACATTTTGCTAAGGATTTGTACACCACATTGCACAGACCTATCGGTCTGGACTGTTTAATCGACTCCAGGATTTCCTTCTTCGGCATCAAGACCAGAAGTGTTTCATTCACATTTCAGATCAGTGTGGGGTACTCGAAACATTCGATAACGAATTGAGAGAAGGCCTCACCAACTACCCCCCCCCCCAACATCTCTGAAAAAATGTCGGTTGATAACCATCTGTCCTTGGGGCCGCCCATACTTTTGACCGCAGTCTAGACTTCGTCCTGCAGTATCAGACGAATCAAGGTGGTGGCCTCCATTCAGTCTCCAACACCCGGCCAAAGTCTTCATGAGTAAGCCATGCCGCCAAGAAATGAAATAACCGCTCCACTCTGACAGAAGTCGCGTCCGGGTAAGCAAGGATTAAGATAGGCTAATGATCCGACCCTATTCTCTCTAAATGTCGGTTAATGGTGTTAGGGAACTTGATCAGCCACGACTTGTTACACAGTGCCCAGTCGAGCTTTTGTGCAAGTCCTCCCCTTTTCCACGTGAACCGGGGTCCTGTGAAACTCACTTCCAGCAACCCACTCGCATTAACATAGTTTCAAAACGGCCTTGTCCACGCTTCCTAGTACCCTGCTCCACCCCGACGATCATTTGGTCCAAGAATGGAGTTGAAATCACCAACGAGTAGCCAAGGATCCATTATCGTGGGCACCAGACCAATAATCCTATCCTAGATGGCCTGTCTACGAGCTTCATTAGGACTCCCATATATCTTCGAGATCACCACCGAGCCTCCCAGACTACCCCATTTCCTGCATGAGAAATGAATCATCTACTCCCACGCATCCAGCTGATTGACTTGAAGCACTAGTTCGTCCCATAGGACCCAAATACCACCTGCAAAACCGATAGCATCCACCATTAGGGCACCATCAATGCCCGTACGAGCAATCAACCCCTTAGCCACCTCCTTGCTAATACAAGGCTCGACAATTACTACAATTTCGAGCCTCGTAGGAACAAAGAATGACTGGAGATCCGAGATAAACATATCGTGACCTGCCCCATGGCAGTTCCAAGCAAAAATATTAACCATAAATTTTAAAAATAAAAAAAAAGGAAAAAAGACACAAGGAAGGTTCAGGGGGAACTCCCTGACGAATCAACACTAGCTGGGGAGCTAGTGAGAAGTGGGTTGGCTAGTTTGGCCCCTCGTGTCTGCCGACACTGTCGCCGCGAGTACACAACCATGTCTTGTCTCTATGAACCCAGGTTCCATGTTGCTCTTGTCCTCCTTACCTCGCACCCCTCCAGACGTCTCCATCACTCCCTTGGTCTTAGTTTTTGGGGAAGGGACAAATATGCTCCCTTTACTTTTCCTTTTCCCTTCTTGACGTGTGTGGCTATGGAGTTTGAACGAGGGTACAAAATTAAAATCTTAAACTCTAGGTTTTTTTATATGCCAATTTTATATGGATATCGAGGGAATGGAGGTTTGTTGGATATATATGCGGCCAGGCGAATATGGGTCACGATATTATTGTCGTCGTGCTTCTATAACTTTTCTTTCGACCTCTATTTCTGATTTTCTTTTGCTTTATGTGTCTCAGAAAATGACTACCCCCTCTACATAAAGACAACTCCTCCCATTTTATTAGTTGTGGCATTGAGGCATCATAGATATCTGCTCATTTATCAGGCAAAATATATAGGTGAACTTGCAAATTTGCGGCAACTCCACAACCAAATATGACGAGAAAGAAGCAAGTAATCCCACACTACAATGATTAGAAGATATCAATTGTCTACAAATTTATAGGAGGCTTTTATTTGGTAGGTGTTCGTTGTTAATTTAGAGCATCCCCTAAACTGCTTCACGAATTTTAATTGACCAATAATTCAAACTATGACCACTAAACAATCGAGCAAGCTCATTAGTTGCATTTTGTTTAGCAAATTATATATCATCATTGTTGTTCCATCTTACTGACTTTAGGATGCATAGAAAAGCAAAACTAAAAAGAGAAAAAGAAAGTATGTCAATCACAACTTACCGGCCAACGAGCCGGACTCTGTGCTAGTAGACTAGTAGAGAAACAACCAAAAGATTTCGGAGTGATTGAGCGGCAGCGGCAGTGGCAGTAGGAAGACAATAGAAGGGATAACAAGATGACTATTGTGTTAATGACTGTTATGGAAAATGCAATCATTGCTGATTTTCTATTATTGTTCTCTAAATATATGTATTTCAGTACATATTAGATTGTATATCTCTTTATATATATTGTACGAAAAATGATTTGAATACATACATTAGATTTGTCATCTTTTTATTGATTTCGTACATTCAACTAGACTTTGTCGTCACAGTACAGTGTCAGTGAAAATCGA